TATGCTTGTCAACAACCAACTTCGATAAAAGTTCATAAAGTTAGATAAATATCAGAGATTGCAACAAACGAAAATCATGTAAGCCTGAGATTCAAATTCAGTTGGTTAATTGGGCTGACCTCTGAATGGTATAAGTCTTTTGGAATCCAAAATAAACCAAGTTCAGTATTCAAGCTTAATGTTTTAATCTACAAAGCTGATGAAACATTTCTCAGTGAAGATCAAAGCTACAGTTCTTATCCGTTAATCAATCTTCATTTATCTAACTATCAGTGAGTGATTTGTTGATTTTTAAAAAAATATCTTCCATGCGTTGGTCAGACACCATAAGCAACAACCTACTGTGGGAGAGAACAAACCAGATTTTATCCAATGCAGGAAGAAATACGAAAGAAGCGTTGGAAGTGGATAGGACACACATTGAGGAAATCACCCAACTGAGTCACAAGGCAAGCCCCCACATGGAATCCTGAAGGCCAAAGGAAAAGTGGAAAATCAAAGAACACATTACGACGAGAAATAGAGACAGACTTGAGAAGAATGAACAAAAACTGGATGGAACTAGAAGGGAGGGCCCAGGAGAGAGTGGGTTGGAGAATGTTGGTCGGCTTCCTATGCTCCATTGGGAGTAACAGGGGTAAGTAAGTAATTACGTAAGTGTTCCATGGGAAAATATCAATACGTATTGATGTAGTGAAGAGTTTATAGAGATGATTTTGTGCCCGTATATGATTCCAATATATTGGAACGAAGATGATACTCATGAAATATTTAGCCTACTTAACTTAGTATATCTTTTATTGACTAATCGCATTGGTACAATGTGAGTATAAAAAGGAGAATACGAGTCTTATTTAGGACATGTTTATTTCTGACATTCGTGTGAGAAACCAAACTGAACAGATGTATGTGGAAATTGAATAGATACAGACTGGTGTAGGTATAATTAATTTACTCCCTGAATAATGGGTAATTTTTTATTTATATGGGTGAATAATATCTGACCTACGGATAACCAATTAGAATACAGATGATGGACATACACGGCGAGCATAGCTATATTATGTTAAAAGTTAACAGTGAATAATCAATACGAGCACGTATATGAAAATGGATAGGGAATAATATAAACAAATGGAAATGAACATGGATGCATGCCATATTATCAATAAAGCTACACTTGATCATGTTAAGGTCAGACAAAGGTCACACAACGATTTATGTCCGTCTGCTACATTAGCTGACGATATGATTGTTAATTTGATTAAACTAGTTAATGACCATTACAGTAGCTTCATTCATGACATGAAACTGCTTTTCAAAAGAAAAAAACTGAGAGTACTTGACATATGTTTCGAATAACATACGGACACCTCATCTCTCTACGCCTATTATCAGTTAGAGATGAAACTCAAGATCAAGCATTTTAACTCTAAATCGAGACTGATATGGAATATCTTTCAGAGTATACAGTTTTGTTGATATGTTCAAAGAATGATTGTATATGTACAGTTCTATAAATCGGAGTTTTATAGCTAAGCAGTTATCATATCAGGACTCAGTGGCTGAGTGAACAACGCGATGGCGTTTGAGGCGAAAGATACTGGTTTCGAGTCCCAGAGTGAATATCAACTCTGAGATGCGCGTACATTCAGCTGACGAGTTCCAAATTAGACGAAAGGCGTGCCCTGGATTTCATTGCTAGCCATTATCCATCTTTACTCATAAAGCTTGTGAATTTAGGCTAGATCGAGTCAATACGCACAGTATGCACACATGCTAATAAAAGACTGACCAGTTACAGTCCTAAACATCAATGATAATATTCAAACAAGCAATACAAAGTTGAAGTTATCAAATAAGGTACTTTAATTTTAATACATATGTTGTAACATTTTTCTCTTGAATTTTCAAAAATCTCAGTATTTAATAGCAAAGAGAATAAGTAGTCAGTTTCGTGACGAACCACTTTAATGATTATAAGCAAAGATGAATTGTAGCTATCGCTGAAATTCAAGACTCTAGTTTCGTCCTATTTGGGACTCGTCATCTGAATGTACCCTCATCTCAGAGTTGATGTTCACTCTAGCATTCGAACCCAGTACCTTTCGCTTCAAACGCCATCATGTTATCCACTTAGCTACTAAGTCCTGATAGGACGAAACATGCATCCTGGATTCCACTGTTAGTCACTGTCCATCTTTGCTTATAATACATTCACACATATAATTAAATCAATCTATCCTTTGATTAAATGCTATTCAATCATCATTAAAAATACTTTACTTATAATATACACCATTCTTGGACATCATTTATACTTCTATTACATAATACAAAATTACAATGAAAGAATAAAATAAATAAAAAAATCAATAAAAAATAGGGTATTAAATTAATGATTAATTAATAAATGTCAATCAATTTTGATTGTTTTTTAATATAAAAAATTAAAAAAATTTTTTTTGTTTACTGTTTTATTATGTAACTATAGGTAATTGTAAATGTATATTATGTAATCAGAGGGGGGGTATATGGAATAATAATTACTTATCATATTACTTATTATTAGTAAACCCTGATCATTGAAATATGTTGAATAACATTATTGAATTACTTTAAGCTATTGGATAAATCAACTAATGAGGTATAAAACTAATCGCTTGATTTAATGGAATCATATGATACTTTGCATATTATTTTTTTTATATTTTTCAATTGATTAATCACTAGGTGGTGATTAATGTCATGTATGTCAGGTTCTTCTTAGTGTAGATCGAATCTTATTGACAAAGTTGTAATGTAGCCACAAGTTAAGGTGACTCGAAATTGTATGTGCTATGTTGAGCCCCCTAAAATGACCTGGTACGGCTGAGAGTGGGGAGAGTCCGCTCTCCCTATCGAAATGCTTTCACATGGCCACACGTATATAGCCTCTTCCAGGGAAGTCCTACTCGCTGCCTTCTCTCAGCGGAAGTGTTGTTCACGAAATTGAGAGGAAGAATGTCCGACACTTTAACTGGGTTGATGGACACGGAATGTCTACCTAGGGGAGTTGGAAAACCTTGATTCCAAACTAATGGTTCACATGGGCTCCAGTATCCTCAGGGAACAAATGGCATAAGAAACAATCATTGGTCACCGGCTACCATGGGACTGCATCTCCTCACGATGCTCCACTGCATTTCGGATTAGACCTTTAGGTCAAAAGCTCTGGGTGTGGCCCCCCCCCTATTTAAACCACCTGCTTCAGTTTGGGCACCTGAACAGTATCCCGGCCTCCACGCAAATCAAATGAGATTTGTGTGGCGCATATATATCTGGTGCTTCATTGTACCAATATTTATGTGTTTAAATAAATAAATAGCACTATGTTGAGATAAGATAATCGATAGGATTTTATCCGCATTTTGAAGGACCTGATATGCATGACAATAATCACCACCTATTGATTAATCAATTGTAAATACATCTCAGTCCTACAGGAGGTCAGTCGCGGCCTGGATAGATCAGAGGTAATGTCTCTGACCGTGAGACTGGGTGACATGGGACTGAGTTTTTCAGGGAGCATCAGTTCCCTAAAGTTGACAGGTACACCTTGCTGACGAGTGAAAAGTAGCATGAAATCTAGGTTCAGAGTTTCCTGTTGATTGCCTCCAACCATCATCTTATATTTTTTGTACACATCTCATTCAAATCATATACATCTAAAAAAGTTTAGAATTATCCATTAGAAGAGATAAGTATGAAAAACAAAAAAATTAAAGTGATTCACTTGATCGAGTAGGTTACAAAACTATCTTAAAATATTCACTTGTTTACATGATTTTTTTCACTGATTTTCAGGACTGCAACTGATGAGTTTGAGTCCCAGAGTGACCATCAACCCTGAGATGCAGGTACATCCAGCTGACTAGTCCCAAAATGGAGGAAACTCGCGTCCTGGATTCCACTGCTAGCCATTATCCATCTTTGCTTAGAATGTTCTAAAATAGCTTTTCAAGTCAAAAAACTACGTTGTCATGAGTAAATTAAAGCTAGACCATCCTGGGAAACCTGAAAACACTGAACAGTCGTTTCGTCCTAGGATGGGACTCCTCAGCATCTCATGCGGGACTCGAAACCAGGACTCAAGACCTCGTGCACGAACGCCCAACCTCTAGTCCACTGAGCCGACGTTCAGTGGTGTTATTGTTTAACTTCAACCAATCCACGAAATTACGCGACCGTCCATCATTCTCTTCAGTGAGTTATTATATCATAACAGATATGGTTTGATTCCACTGGTCACGTCTACTTTATATTTGTTGTATGCATCCAGTATTAATTTATTCATTAAAATTCGAACACAGTACCTAATGCTTCGAACTTCAAAAAGTTATTAACTATTCACAATGTCATGATGGACACTATTCATGATTCATTAAGAACAAGAAAAGAAAAACACTTTGTTCGGTTTCCATCATTAGTCTTTATTTAAATTGTGATTAGATTGTAGGTGTAAACACCATAATATGTACTTGACTGAAATCTTAAAAGCATTCTCATTAATAAGTGGTGTAAGACAGTACAATATTCCAGACATATATTTATGTAATAAGTGTCGAGTATAGACAAGATAGCTGATCAGTGTTTCTTTGCTTTCGATGGTCATTCCTTGATGAAAACTCTCTTTGTAATCACCAAGCTTGTGTTTATATAAATGTTTGTTTTCGACTGATCTAATTACATCTAATAACAATGAAGATCCTATTACCATCGTGATCAATTTATCCGTGAAAGTAATGGAAGTGAAAACGATATTCAAGATTTGACTTTAAAATCTTTTGTACATAAACCTAACAAAAATTCATGATTGGCATCAGCCTAAAGAAGCGACAAACCTTTTCAACTGAACAAAAGACAAAATTCAATGGCGTTCGTCGTATGATTCAGTAAATTTTGAACGAAAAACGCAAAGAAAAGAAAAAAATGGTTGCTTTTTTTGAGGAATCACTTACTTTAGTATCATCTGGTGAATTTTGTAAAGAATCCCCTACTTCCCCATTTGATACATCATGTTTTTTGGAGCATTCATGACTTTGAATGAAACTATTATCATGATTAACTATGACAGGATGAATTCTTGGTCCGACCATTTCATATGCTCTGCTTAACATTGATAAAAGTGTAACAGTTGAATTTACAGTACAAGAATTTGTTCTGTTTGAATTATTTAATTGTATGTTAGAACCTGAGTAACGTTTACCATTGATAGATGTATAGTTTGGTGAAATACTATTTCGTTTATGAAGAAAACTATGTAAAGGTAATAGATTTTTATTGATACTACCATCACTGTAACAATTGGCTAATCCACCATGTTCATTTAATTGACAACGTGCTTTAGATGATAATCGACCACGACGACCTTTAAGGCTGTCACGACGAACGACTGATGAAGAGAAAAAAGGTAAAGAAAATTCAAAATTATATTTCAATAAGACATATTATGAAATTATCATCAATGATCGATTTCAGTCGGAAAATTAAGTGAATTTAAACTTCACCAAATTGGACAAGCAAGTGGCTATCATGACTCAGTAGCTAAGTGGATAACGTTGTGGCGTCTGAAACGAACGACACTGAGTTCGAGTCCCAGAGTGAATATAAACTCTGAGATGCAGGTACATCCAGCTGAAGAGTCCCAAATAGGACGAAACGCGCGTCGTGGATTCCACTGTTAGTCACTATCTATCATTGCTTATAAAGCTTGTGACTTCGGGTAATATCGAGGCAGTCCGTACAGAATGTACATATGGCCAATAAGAAAATGATCAATTGCAGTCATAAATAACAATGGGAAGATACAAGTAAACAACATCAAGTGAATTTAAATATATTCAACTGTTCTAATCAGTTATCTTATCAATTTGTTACACTTCTTGGTGTAATCTTTCGAATACAAAACGTTAGAAACGTTTTCCTTGGACAATAATGAAACAGTTCATAAGTTTTCCCCTCATTAGAGTTAGACATGTTTGTCATCTATTGAGAAAGAAGTTCCAACCCATATGTGAGTATGTATCAGAGTCGTTTAACAAAGAAAACATAAATGTAAGGTTTTGATTGAAACCTATTCGTGTATAAACCTTTGTTATCATGTCAATAACCAAAAGAATATGTCACTTTGCCATCAACAAACCTAAAAATATTTCCTTAATCTTCTTTTGCCAAAACAACCGGCTAAAAATGAATTATCAAATCTTAAAATAATCTCATTTCACATATGCTGAAGATAAGTACTATATTACGATCGAAAGTAGCCGTACTCTTTAAAACTCCCGTGTTAAGATACTTCTATCCATATTCTAAAACATAAATAATGAATGAAACTAGACTTACTAAGATAATCCATAAATTTTTTTAAAAAAAACCCTCAACGGTGAGAATATAATTTATGAATCAACCAATTAGACTTAAGATAACAAGTCTTGGATTTTGGCTCAAAATTTCATTCATCTATTTGGTCAAATAGAGTTTTAGCACTTTAGCTCATGTCAATTCATGATGAGAAACCCTAAATCATATTCCCAATTCTTAATAAACTGCATTACGTAGGTGAACAATTTGAAGGTCACTTTAGTGTTGCTCAAAGGTAACCTATAAATTTTAGTCCCACCCCCCTCTACTATATATCAAATAAATAGTACTCAAGAAAATTATTAATATTATCATTATTTTAATAGTAAAGATCGTTAGTCAATTAAAGCTGGACCACCTTAGAAAACCTGGAATTAATGGATAGCCGTTTCGTCCTATTGTTGAACTCTTCAACAGTGCGCATGATCATTATTATTTAAACTTACTAATTATAGCAACTGTAATAATTTTTTTTAAAAATTATTTCTTAAAAAAATGTTTAAATTATAAAATGATATAAAGTTGTATCTGTGTAAAAAAAAACGAAAAAAAAACAAAAAGAAGAAAAGGAAGAAGAAGAGGGGGGAATGATGACGGTAATATTAACTAAAACTAATAAATCAATGATGTATATGATTATGTCATTGTCGGAAATACAATATCATCCTTATCCCTCAAAATAGTATATAGAAGGTTTTCTTTGAATCTTCACAAGCACATGTATATATGTATAAGTATAGATATATGAATACGCTTACATGGTAAGTTTCTTTTTAGATTAATCTGCATTATGTTCCTCTTTTTTAGGTTCCATTTTAGTTTTCGGTTACAAACATTCACTACAATTTTTTTTTTTTTTGGTATTTTTATTTGTTAACTCTTACAGTTTTACTTTGATTACAATGAACCAATCCATTTATTTATATACATAAGAATATAAAGTAAAGTAGAGAGATAAATAGATATAATGAAAGTGAATTTCCCCGTACCATTAATGATAAATAATTTATACAAAAAAAAGAAGAAAATAAATCACTTTCAGTCTGGTATGCTATCAACATCAGCATCATCATCAACATCATCACCGACCATTATGAACATTATCATCATCATCATCATCATCTTAAACATGGATACTACTACTTATTTGTAAAGAAAAGTAAAGTGAAGGATCGTCATAGTAAAGTGAAGTAAATAGTAAGCAATAATAGTGATTAGTGGATAGTTAGTTGCTTAGTTAATTCGTTTGTAGATTGAAAAAAAAAACTAAAATCCGAATAGAAAAGAGAAAAAAAATTTGTTTTTTTTTTCTAGAGGAAAGAAACGTCAAAATTTATTCTTTAGTATTATTATTATGGTAACTAATGTGTGCACATATTTATGTTACCCCGAAAAATTTGATGCCTTTTTCTTTTCAATAAAACTTAATATATATTCTTACTTTGAAAGTAAATTCTTTTTTTCCTTTCAAACACGTATATACATGTATGTATGATCAGTCATTTGACTACACTACACTACACTAAGGGGGTGTATCAGGATGCTTATGTGTGTGTGTGTGTATGTGTGTGTGTGATTTTGTGTATATTCTTTATACTTTTGTATATCTTAGAGTTAAAACTAACACTCGTTTAATAAACGATATAAATTGAAACCCTGGAAAATGGATTCGTCTTCAAAGAGGATTTATGTTATTGAAAAGTTTTTTTCTTTTTTTTCTCTTATTTTCTTTTTTCTCGTTTTTTTTTTGTTTTTCTGTGGATAAAATATAAAGAAAATGCAATATTTCTTAATTAACATAATTAAATTTACTTTTTTTTTTGTTCCATTTACCTTCTATATTTATCAGGAAGTAAGTTACAGTTTATGTTTCATTCAAATGACAATAGGATTTGCTTAAAGAAAATATTTCATTACACATTGATATATACAAGAGTAGATAAGAACGTTGGTCTAAATTAGAACGAATCGTTTCATAGTCTTTGAGGCGCCAAGTTTATATAAGACATACAAGAGGGAGAAGGTATTTGTCAATTCTTAGCGAATGAATTTGAAGTAAAATCCAATATTTTGTCTGGTAAAACTGGTTCAAGGAAATATAACTAAACAGGAGAAGTATTTGAAACCATATAATAAAGGATATCTATTTCAGTGGTCTTTTAGAATATCCGTCCAAAGAAACATACAGTATTGTACTTTGAATTTTCTGATCTTGTAACCGATGAAATAACTTCACATAGTTTAATGTCAAGTAGAAAGTTTTTTAATTACACCTGAAAACTGATCCATAAAATCTTAATTTAACTTCATTTATGTAGTTTCATCTATAAATTATGATATTAATGAGTAGATTATGATCCATAAATGATTCCGTTAGATATTGTTGAAACGCCGAATGTTAAGTATATTTAGCCTACCGGGGAGTTTTGGTGATCTTAAGGGTTTAGAATAAAAAAATGAATACCGGGAAAAGTATGATTATGTAACAGATTGCCTTTTTATAGTCAACAAGTTTGTAAAACAAGCCACACATATTGTAGTGTGGGTTAATTATGCCTACATATGTAGTATATAGTGATGATCAAGTATAGAATATATTCCGGCAGAAGATCGATAAGGAATAAACTGAAATGAAGTGTAATCGTTAGGAAAATGCATAAAAAACGAAATTAGAGAAGATGGACTGATATATACAGAAGGAACAGTGAAGATTGAGACAATTGATTGTTATTTTGCAAATTAACTGTTTACTGTAAGGTTATCAGGTTTTGGTGAGATAGTCTATGATTTGTGCTTAAATACATTCGATTGTTTCCACCCATATTCATGTTCATTACAATCAACATAAAAACTTCCAATCCAATGGTTACATAGCTGTCATGAACGAAAAAAAGGGTATTATTAACACATATTCTTAGGAATTTCATAGTTACTATACATAAACTAACCTTCTTTAACCATTCCAACTTTTAAACATTTTTGAAATCGACAATATTGACAACGATTACGTCGACGTTTATCGACTACACAATTTTTAGCTTGAAGACATACATATTGTGCATTTTTTTGAATTGTCCTCTATAAAAATAAATAAAAAAAGTAATGTTAATAATACTGTATATATACTTGTTGTATCTAGAGCTTTGATTCTTAATCTGCAGCGAACTACTCGACTACTTGAACGATAGAACCCGCAACGTCGCAAAAGAGAGAAGGCAAAGACTGGTAAGAAGGAAGTTTATTCCCCAAATCAGTGTCAAAACATAGCTCAGAAATCTCGTGTATTTATAATTTTTTGGCTGAATGTAAATCATCATTTAGGTCAACCAATAGGCACATAGGGGTCATACTAATCCATCCAATGTGAAAGCTACACGTCAACATTCTAGAACATTCCTCTAGCCGTGATTGGATGGAATGTCTGTGGCTCTTCCTGGGCTTCTTAGGGCTTCCTAGAGTCTACCGACGGGCCGTCCTTACAATACTGTTAATAAAGATCAATAAAAATGATAGCATTTTATTGTGTTCAGTCTTATTATGGTGTGTGCAACTGATGTCCATAGATATAAGTAGTATATACCGTCAATCAAAAATCAAATGACTGATGGTAGAAGGTTAAGAGGATCGAAGAAAAGTGTATGAGAACAGAGAATGATTAGTGTGTAAACGAAGGAACAACGAAGTCTGAGAGGATTGACTGATATTTTGCAAATAACGTATTCATTGTATGGTTCTCAGATTTTTTCTAAGACATTCTCTAATATTATGTTCAAATGCGTCCGATACCTTGAAAAGAAAATCAAACCAGACTACATAGTGTAACATAAGAGTAACCAAAGTTTTTGAGATTTACATAAGTATATTTGATGAGACTATAATTTATAGATGACCTTTGAGCGACGTTTAAGTGACCTTCAAAATGTCCACTCACTAACTAGGACATAATGAGGTTTACAAATCAGGTTGAGGAACTGAAATTAGGATTTACACTTGATGGTTTTCGTTAGGGATTACATATACAGTTTTCATCACGAACTGAAATTATTATTATTATTATTAATGGCTTTATTCAATATTGAAATCTGGTACAATATAGAATTCTCAGCACGAGTTATTTCAACAAGTTTTTTACCAAAACAAAAAAAATACAGAAAAGAAATGAAAAAAATGTTTAAAAAAAAATCTGAGTCTGTATAAATTATCAAATTTGAGACATGCTTAAGAATACAGGTTATTTACTAGGTCAACTCTAACACAGGTTAACGTTTACAAACGTAGCTACTCCGCCGCCACAAGTCTTTCTTATTGTTTGATCGATCCTGACTATAGATATTGAAATCATGTAATGATACTAAGCAATCATCCTGTAAGTCAGTTAACCAAGATTCTTGAATTGTGATGACACTACAATTACGATACATGTTTTGACTTAGTAGAAATTGGAGATAGTCCACCTTGTTAATTAGAGATAGACAATTAGAATTAAGCAGCTCTGGTATCGACATTTGATTAATGTTCATTCTCTTTAATGCATATTGCCAACCACCAAGATGTCTCTTATTGTACTTGTTTGTGATTTTTGCAGCGAAAGGACGTAGACTTTTCATAAACGCGCCTGTATAGGTTATGCGATTAATAGACATAATAAGTTAAAACAAATTAAAAAAACCCAGATAACTTGTTGAAATATTTAGATGGTAGAAACAGATAGCCCAGGTATTCAAGCAGGCCGCCACTATGATGTCAAAATGATATTTGGCCAAATGTATAGATAAATTTCGTGCCAAAATCCAAGACTCTTTATCTTATATCTGTTTGGATCGTCCATAAATTATAGTCTCGCCGAATGATTTTACACTCTTTGTTAACTGAAAACAGAATTCGTTATGCTTTCAAATGGAATAATCATGGTATGAAATACTCCATATTGACTACGTCTATATAGAATTTGCTTATTAGATTAGATAACTTTGGCATGGTTGCAAGTTCCTCAATTTGTAAAATGAAGAATAAAAAGTGTCATAGTTATTAACTATCAGATTAAACCGTAGGATTTTTTAATTTCTATTTGATTTTCTAATGTTATATATTGACTGCAGTTAGACTTATACACTATTAGATCCTGGCTCAGTAGTCTAGAGATTAAGTGTTCCTGTGCTATACCGAAAGGTTTGTGTTTAATCTAGAATATCAGGGTCGTGGATACTCACTGCTGAAGAGCTCTGGATTGGACGGTTATTTCAGGTTCTTTCAGATTTTCAGTCTTTGCCTAACTTAGATATGTTTATGATTCTGGCAAACATTGAAGTGTGTTATTTTATCAAATTGTATTATTGTGTTTCTTTTTCCGACTTAAATCTGTTTACTCTACTTAGCCTCAATTAAATCATCATCGTTAGGTATGATTTGAATTGACGTATGTGTGACTAACATTTAAATAGTTGGAAAATCCTGGTCATACACTCTTTACATCTATCATATCCAGGGTAACAACTCGTATAGCTAATCACTAAGCTAAGATAGTAAACTACGGACTGAAATTTATTCAACTATAATTTTAAGAAGCTGCCATGTGAATATCAGAACTTGTAGGCTTGTTGTATTTAGTGCCATTATCTATTCAATTAAAAATAGTTTATAATACGGAAAAATTAAGCCAAACAACTAGGGAATAATAAACAATTGTTTCGTTTTGGTTATGGTTGTTTGACTATTGTTAATGCACAATTCTATGAGTGAATGATACTTTGATATACAAGTCTGTTGTTGAGCGTGTTATATTTAAACCACTGAGTCATAATTTATCACCTTGAACTCCCTAATTCACTCAAATTTTGATAATAATACTGTGGTGTGATCTACTTATATCCATATAAGTAGTATATGGTGTGGGTCAGACATAGAATGTATTTTCGCAGAAGACCGATGAGGAAAGAACTGAAATGAAGCGCGTTTGGAAAATGCATGAACAATGGAATTATTGAAGAAACAGTGAAGATTGAAACAATTGGTTGTTAATTTGCAAATTGAATGTTCATTGTTTGGTTATCAGAATTTACTGAGATAGTCTGTAATGTTTGCTTAAATTCATTCGATTGTCCCCAACCGGTGTTTTGTTCACTACAATACTACATTCGTTTAATGTCAAAGATGATGACTATCTCACTTTTGACAAGTTTAAACTTAACCTGTCATAAATTCACACTAGAACTTCAGGAATTCTTATAATCAATTACTGGTGTAAGCTGACTATCTTTCGGATGGAACGTTACATTGTATTGTTCAATTTGAAAATAGTTCACCTTGGTTGATTTTAGTTAGATAACAAATACCTATAATCCATACTATTATTGTTTAGTATTATTATTAGCTGTATTCATTATAGTGTCTTGGTCAGAAAGGGGTTTCGTGGAGAGTTTAGTAATTTTATATTGTTGAGATCATGAGTCAATTCAAGCTAGACCACCATAGAAAACCTGGAAGCACTGGAAGGCCATTTCGTCCTATTGTAGGACTCCTAAGCAGAATAGAATTCTCAGCATAAAGTATTCCAACAAGTTTCCGTTTCTTATTTCTTGATCGATCCCGATGATAAATGTTGAGTGATTGCCATTTATAGGTTAGCAGTTTAGGAATTAACATCAGAATGATGTACATTCTTTTTGATGTAAATTGCTAGCAATCACAATGTCTCTGGTCGGGCTCTTTCCTAACTTGTACAGTGAAAGGTCGAAAAATTTTCGCATACTAACCTGAACAGATTGTGCAGTTATTTAAAATAATAATCTGTTAAAACAAACAGGTAAACATATAACTTGTTGAAATATGTCAATGTCAGGAACAGGTAGTTCATATATTCAAGCAGGTTGCCACGTAGTTACTACCTTCCAAACTAACAATCTAAATAAGTATTTAGTTTCAAAAGCTTTTCTTGATCAATTTCCAAAATGTTAACTTCGCCTGTAGCGCTTCTAAGCTTACTGCCGGAGGAGGATGCAGATGTAAATGTGAGGATTGGCAAAGCAAGGGCAGCATTTCTACAATTGAAGAACATATGGAAGTCCAAACAACTGTCAACTAATTGCAAAGACACAATCTTCTATATGTACGTCAAGACAGTCAGTTTTACTGTACGGAGATAAAACATGGAGAACTACTACGACCATCATCAGGAAGGTACAAGTATTTATAAACAGTTGTCTACGTAAAATACACAACATCCATTGGCCGGATACTATCAGCAACAGCGTTTTATGGGAGAGGACAAACCAGCTTCCATCTGAATAGAAAATTAGGAAAAGACGTTGAAAATGGATAGGACATACATTAAGAAAATCACCAATGTGTATCACGAGGCAATCCCCAACTTGGTATGGTGAAGGGAAGCGAAAATGAGGCAGGCCAAAGAATACATTACTCCGGGATATAGAAGCAGATATGAAAATGAAGAATAACAACTGTAAAGGATTGCCCGGGAGAGGTTTGAATGAAGAGCGCTGATGGCCGGCCCATTCTTTTCCATTAGGGATAACAGACGTAAGTAAGTAAGTTCCAAAATGTTAATCCAATTTTATATACAACTATCTAATACAAATGACAACCAGATACCAAAACCTTATCTCTACAGTATAAATCATTATACATATATATATATATATATAGATATATACATTGGTACCGATGACATACTAGTCAAAGTTTGACCTTATAACATCATCAAACTGTAATGAATGAATGAATTAAACAATAATTCACTTTGAATTCATCTATCTATCTAAGTTAGTTTATCTATATATATATATATATATATATATATATAGACCAAATGGTAAATCTATTCATGGCATCCATTCATTTAGAATAACAACAAAACGAAGAAAATAGGGTCAAAATTGGCCTATCTATTTACATGAATAGATAAATTGTACTAGTCAATAAATAATCTCCATAGAAAAAAAAAATAAAAGAAGATAAATAATTCTAGATTATTCTAATCATAAGTATAAACATAAATGAAGTGGAATAAAGAAAAGGAGAAAGAAAAAAGGGGGGAGAAATATATTCCATATAAATAAAAA